TAATTACTTATGTAGAACACAGGTATGTATTTAATAGATAAGTAATTAACAGATAAGATAAATGTAAGATAAATAAGATAAGTTAATAATAATGATAAGATAACAAGAGGTAAAGGTAATCAACATTATGGATAAGTGCTTATGTACATAAGTACAGGTGTTGCAGTTACTTGGTACATGAAAGGTACTGTGACATGTACTCTATGGCTGACAGTTAGTGTAGTGGTACCATCAGTTACACTAACTGTTAGCGTAACTGTTTAAAAGTTACACTAACTGTTAGCGTAACTGATTAAAAGTTACACTAACTGTTAGTGTAACTGATTATGTAGTTGGAATAACATGTAGGGTACCTCAGACATAGTAGAATAAGGACCTCAAAAAGTATTTTTCAGATAATTACTTGGGAAAAAAGCAAAAAAAAACAAGTAATCATACTATAAGAGGACAAATTATCAACTAAAAATCAACAAATATGGAAGGATATTTTTTCTTCTGGATAGGCATGGCTAGGAATGAGGGATGAAAAGAACTACTGATAGTGAGTTTTTTTTTCTGGTAAGATTAGGTATTAGTGATAACAAGAAATTGATTTTTTTTTGCTTTGAATTGTTTATAATAAGAATTTTTTTTGCTTAGAGATGAGTGATAAAAAGAATACTAGTGGTCAAAAAGAAAAAGAAAAGGTGGGAAAAAATCTACTTTTTTCTTTGGGAATAGTCAATGTACAAAGAAACAACTGTTTGTGCTTTGGTGAAATCTCCAGCAACTGTAATACCTTGTTTTAACCACATATGGCTACTAACACACCTTTCAATGGTCCGGGGTTTCAAACTCCCTTGGCCAGTTGAACAAACTTCAGCAGCTGAAGAAGAGGTATGCTCAACTGCACATGAGGATGCAGAGGATGCTAAGTAGTCCTTTGCCAGTGATCCAAGAACCGGGTAGGTGGTTGAATGATCCTGAACAAAATTAATAATTAAATTATGATTAGAGTAATGACCAAATGAGTATGATCAAAGAAGGTAACTTTATACCTTCCACCAAATCAAAATGCTCTTGGGATTGTTTGAGGCATGCAAGGGTAGATGATCCATGTTGTTGATATACACCTCGAGTTCTTTGCTTTTGTAGGTACTTGCAGGTGCATTGAACATTTCAAAGATATCATCTTGCTCGACCGGGGGGGGGCTTCTTTTTCAACAGTTTTGATATTATCTTCTTTCTGTTTCTTCAGAACCTCCACACGTTTTGCAAATTCTTTCTCCAGAAGTTTTCTTGCAAAGTCCGCTTTTTCAGGCCAGCAATGGACAAAGGCCTTCAGCCGTAATTTGGGGTGGAGCAAAGTTGCCATAATGAGAGTATGACACTTGAGTGCCTCGCTTTGGTAGGTCTCTAGTTTCTTGATCATTTTGACGTACATTGGATGCATCGGGTGACCTCGGTTGCAGGCATCCTCCTTCCTTTTCAATTCTGAGATTATTTTATAATAGTTTGGTAAGATGAAAGCACCGGTAGGACCATCACCCTCCATAAGTTTGGTCAGGTGGTTGAAAGGCTGAAAAAAAGCAAATGAGCATTTCAAACAAAACCTTATATATTATAATAAAAAGGACTTACTTCTAATTCTTCATTCAGTTCATTAATCATCGCCCATTCCTTCTTTGTGAACTGGATCTCCTTGAAGTGACCGAGCTTCTTGGGATTTTCCTTGCGGCTTGATTTGGACCTTTGTTGTTTATATTTGTCATACTCATCATGGAGTATTGCATCGATAAACTAGATTGGCAAAGATTAATCAACAAGTTGTTTATAAAGATGGATAAATAACATACTTCTCTGGCTTCATAGGCACGAGTTCGGCTTTCATATATTATATTCCAACGGATACCATAAACAGCAATCAGGTTTTTTAATCCTTTTCCAGCTGCTTGTTGCTCAAATTCCTGTCTCCAGGCACACGATCCGGTAATTTTCTTAACTAAAAAGTCCAACTATGTACATCAATCAAACTTGTCAGTATGTCACTCAAAAAAAATATCAGAGATATAATGACTCACTGCCGTAACCAACTCATTTAAGTCATTCGAATTGTTCCTGTTGGCCTTTGAGGAAGATTCTTTTTGGCCGTCTGTTGGGCTCCTGGGAATCATCCGTATCATCTTGGTCATCATCATCCAATTCCGGGTCGTCTTCATTGGTGTGATCACTTCCGGCTTCACTGTTGGAATCGCTGTCTTCATTGTCTCCTTCATTTCCATCTTCATTCTCCTTGGTGATTTTTGGCATCGTACTTGAGTAGGGGAAAGAACCTAAGAACACTTTTTTCATTTTTGGTGGAGGCAGAGATTGAAGTCCCAATTCCTTCAAACCAGCATTCACAACAAGAGCCATTTTATGGCAAAAACACTTAATATGCATTGTCTTATGCTCCCATTCAAAATTACCGTCCGTGTCAAGAAGGGCCAGTTTGGTGTGCATTTCTTCAGCCATGGTATTGTTATTTGAACCTGAATCGGTGGTCTGACATAGCATGTAAATATGAGAAAATAAAATTAGGTTTGACCTTTTATCATGAAAATAATTAACAAGTTAAAAATACTTATCTTATTGTAGAGTTGATGTTTCTTCAAGATATTGACAATAGGGCAGCCAGCAAATCCCTTTGATGAAACCAGGCGACCAATTTGAGGCCTAAATGAAGCAAAAAGTAATTCCAATTGTTATCAATAAAAGATGCGGCTACGCCAATGAATCCATAGCAATTTCCTTTTGTTGTCCGTACTTTGTGTATCAAATTGAACTTGCTGTTGGTTGCCTGATTACATATAATTTGAACAATATAAGTAGATTGTTCTTTGAATTTAATGAGAATAAACTACTTACTTTTATTTGTCTAACCACTTCTTCTTGTAATTCCAAGTACGCCGTTCTTGAAGCCGTTGCCGCCCATTTTCTTTTGAAAAAATTTGCAGCAGGTTCACAGTAGTTGAAGGCGGCCTGAAGATAAGGGTCCTCAACTTGATTCCAAGGTATCGCCTGGCGCAACAGCCATAGAGCTACAATTCGATTAAGAATAATGTTGTCGAACTTTTCTACTCTAGCAAAGTGACTTGTGATTTCTTGAGTTCCTTTCTTCTTTTTCTCTTCATCAAGGGCCATCTGAGGAAGTTTAGCTCCAGCAGCGATAGCTTTTGCATGGTTTGGACATCCGTTTGACACCCTTCCAGTTTGACGAGAGCCATCACGATGCACACAAAGATTGGAAAGACTAGACGCTGAGACCCGGACTTCTTTCTTACACCACAAACAGCTATATGTTGACGGAGGCTTATTTGCTGGCTGATAGAACAAAAAGAAGAGGAAAAAATAATTAGAATGATATTAAGATTTTCAGAAGAAATGCAACAAGTCTCACTTACATCATCCTTACGGCGAAATGGTTCAGAAAAAAAAACCTTGATATCATCCTCCTCTGGGTTCTTCCTTTGCCTCTTGAATTTGGCCTTCGCATTTTCTTCATCGGAGTCCTGCGCAAGGTCAATCGTGGTTCCAGGGTTTGACTCAGAGTTTCCAACTGAGGTGGCGCCAGTGGTTTTCTTGTTTTTTTTGGTTGTTTTTTTGTTGCGTGGCTTCTGAGACTGAACTGGAGGAATTTGAGGGGTAGAATCAGAATTGGTGGGAGCTTCAGTTCGTTTCTTGGATTGACTTCTGGGATTGATATCTGGTCTTTCTGACAGAAGTGGCTGGGTGATTGATTGACGGGAATCAGGTGAAGGTTGAATCATTCCAGATTGCTTCATGGGGGTAGTGACTCTTGAGGATTGACGGGTTTGCACCTCCGTGGCATCGCTTACATTTCCAGACTGGTTTGACATGGAAGATTGTGTTGGTTGGCTTGACATGTTGACCTGGATTTTGCACTCGGTGGTTGTTGATGGGGTAAGTGAGTTGAGTGTTGGATTGGAGTTGGCTGTGGCGGTGGTTGTTGTTTGGGTAAGTGAGTCAATTGTTGGATCGGAGTTGGCTGTGACGTGTCAGGTCAGGCTGGCTTGCGCGGCTCTCAGATTTTTTTTCTCACCCAAAAAAATTTTCACCCCCCGGGGCCCAAACCACAAGCTCCCTGCCCCAGCTGGGTGCGTCCCACAAACAGACCAGTGGAGACTCTTCAATCAAAAGACAAACAGAACTGCCAATCAACAAAAACTCAAAGCATAGAAAATTAAAAAGTCCTAAAAGTGGTAAAAACATAAAATAAGAAAAATAACAACATACAACAATAACAAAGAACAAAATGACAAAATATAAAAATATAAAAATCCAAACATAAAAAAAAGTAAAAACCAAAATAACAGAAGGAACAACTGACCAATTACGTAAAAGAAAAAAACAAAAACAGACAAAAAAATTGGAAAAGGCTGGTGCAAGCATTCACAAGCAAATTGTGAATCAACAAAATGATACCACATCTGTACCCCTTTCAAAATCTCAATCCTATTGTTTAACAAGTATTATATCAGCATACACACATCTCTCTCTCCATTCTTTTCAATCTTAATCTGAAATCTATATTATTTTATCAAAATCTAACTACATGATGAAATAAAGAAGGATTCATACCAAATTTGTCCATAAGACATTGGATCAAACACTCAAAATATTAGATATTTAAGGGCCTGTACCATAGACACCCAATTTTCATAATTCAGGTGGGAATCCATTTTTCCATCATAAAATGAAATTGCGTACCACACGTAACACAATTTCCAACAAATCCCAATACGGATTTTGACGACATTGCTCACTTTGCAAAATCGACCTCGACTACCGTTTCTCTCTCCAATCTCTGATGAGATGAATAACCGTGCTTCCCCTCTCCCTCCCCTCAAATCAAAAAGCCCCCACCCTGATTCCTCCATCTTCCATTTCGGCAGCCCCCTAGTAGATTAGTTAGTTCTCAGTTAACACACCCACCCATCCGCCTCCTTCCAATCATCCCCATGTCCAAGCGCACCATGAACCATCCAACTCCGGATATCAGCTCCGCTACAACTGCCAACAACCCCAAACCCAAAGGCCAAGGAAAAGCCAAGGACGTCCCGCGCAAAGAACCCCACTTGTGGAGCTTCGATCAGAAGAAAAAGCTCCTTGAGCTCCTCCTGGATTACTCGAGGCGTGGTCACGCTACTGACAATGCCAATTTGAAGAAGGATGCTTGGGCTTTGGCTGCCAGCGATATGAATGAAGCCTTTGATATCAGCCTTGACGTCCAGCAACTTCAAAACCAGAAGGCCGCTCTGAGGAAAGCTTACCAAGACTTCAATTTTCTCCGGAACCAATCGGGTTTCGGTTGGGACGAAGACTTATCAACTCCAACAGCGACCCAAA